ATTAAGCACACAAGCTATAAGATAATTATCAAATTTTATAGGTTATAATTAAATTACTAAATTTTACTAAGCAATAACTAAATTGGTGAGTACTTGATAACTGGTCATTATGTTTGTGCTTAGGATTATGCACTGGAATTAATCTATCGAGAAAAGTGGCGTGACGAACGTTTACAGTACAACGATACAGCATTCCAAAACAAATCAGAAATTGCCCTACACGAAAGCTACACCGAATTTCTATGGCATCCAGATACATTTTTTCCAAATGCCATATCGTCGAAGAGTCCACAGAAACAATCAATTTCTCATCGTTCATTATTACGGTTTCCGTTTTCACTTCATTTATGAAAATTTTTTATCTGCTAAAATAAGTGGTTTTAATGATTCAAAAGAATTTCGTTTTGTTTTTAGTCATTAACTGCTTCAATTTTAGCTTTTCTTACCTTGTTCTTTTAACAGTAATTACTGCCGATAGTTTTATAGACTAATCTAGATTTATATGTGTTTCATTTCCTTTAGGCTTCAACAGAATGGAACTATACTGTACAGTCGACGTGTTTCTGTGGTAGCCGAATGTCCAATGGATTTAACACTGTTCCCATTTGATTCACAAATTTGTAAATTGGGAATAGAAAGCTGTAGGTTTATTTTCAGCAGTCAACTGCTAGTTGAAATTTGTTTTTGAGCTGAAGAGAACAACTAGACAATGACGAATTCAATTAGTGTTTTTTGACTATAAAACTTACTACATAGTAATATTTTATTAAGTAACACTCAAGAAGTACCAGACTTCTTTGGACTACCTTGGAAACATTTAAAAAATTTTTTTATTTTTTGAAAGTCGATTTTAAAATAAAGCTTTTTATGCTCAATTTTTTATTTTTTTCCAGTGTTTAAGGAGAAGTTATTTAAACAGACGTTGTTTTACTGTCAATGTAGAAATTGCATCAAAAAACAAATTTGAAAAAAGAACACTAAACTTACAAACGTTATTACCAGTGATTAACTGCAGTATTTTTAACAGAAAGGATAAAAATGCGCAAAAAAAAATTTTTTTAAAAACCTCAAGATTTATTTATGCTGTTTTTCGATAGTAAAAAAAATTCTGAGCATCACATAAATACTGCTGATTCTACTCGTGCCAAGCGTTTAACCTCCAGACATTGCTCCACTTCTGCGCTTTTTTTAAAGATTTATTATCTTTTATTTCAAAAATCATCCAAATTTGTGATACATATTTCATCTTCCAAACTTTACCGGAATATCTTTATATATACATATTAAGCTCAAAGTTTTATAGAGAGGAAATGTTCACTCTTGATTCTTCGTTCTATTCCAGCACGGTCAAAGTAGATCGGAAAAAAGCAAAAGAGCCATAAATGACAACTGTTTTTTAAGAAATGCTTTTTCGTAGTATCTTTCAAATCTCAAAAGCCTTAGTAAAAATTTTAAAAGCATAGACGTTTTTCTTTTTTTAAGCAACAAACTCTAATTTTTTGAACTGTTTTTTAGATTAAGACTGAAGCAAAACAACAGTGGAAAGAAGAGTAACTGTTGGTTTGAAGTGCAGTATTTTGTGCTAATGAGAAGCATTACTTTTACTTTCTCAACAACTCTATAATCTTCTTTGAAAAACTGATTTTTAGATGGTTATACATCTGATCGGGTTCGTTATGTATGGTCTATGCCACCAGGTACAAAAGCTTTAGAGCTGAAACCAATACGTCTGCCAGATTTCAAAATTAAGGAAGCCTATGTAACAACACATTTTGAGCCATATGCTACAGGTACCTTTAATAACTGCCGGCTACAAACTGTTTGTCAGAAAAGTGTATAAGAAGTGATAATCAACGATTAATCTGCCCAATTTGCTCACTAAGCAAAAGAAGATAAATATGAATAAAAATTATGTCAAAACTTGTGAAATTTTTTTGCTTGTTTACTGACTGCAGAACAGAAATTGAGACATTTGTCAAAATTGAACGAATGCATCAAACATACCCAAATTCTGTAACCTATTAAGTCATTAGAAATATTCTAAGATTTTTTAGAAGATGTGGTTTTATCAAAGCTTATTCAATTCAATGACACTGTTGAATCGGTGACTACGCTAAACTTTTAGGTACTTATGATAGACTGTATATTTGCTTTGTTTTTACGCGTTCATCAGGTTTCTGTTTTCTACAGCTTATTCTTCCATCAACAGCTGTTGTTATAACTTCTTGGGTTTCACTGTGGATGGAAAGTGAAACTGAATTTCAGGTTTTTTTTTTGAACTCACTTTACTTTACTGATTTCTGGCTTTTAACAGAAATTCTAGTTATTATACGTTTTTATTACATAACCTGTAGTCGACAAATACAGTAAGATAATCACCTGATGATGTCATCACTTGTTGTCGGTTATACATGGGCATATACATGTATCAGCTATGTTTCTGTTGTAGTATTTCAGGATATGATATCAATTATACTGGCAATAACATTTTTAGTATTTTCATACAACGAAATGATGCCTCGTGTCAGTTATATCAAAGCAATGGACGTCTATTTGGGTGTGTCACAATGCCTTTCTATTTATTCATCTTTCTTTTTCCTCTCCCCTCGTAACCTGCATTCCACAACCCCCATTTCCCTCTTGCTCTTCAAGTTAGATACAATCAATCTTTTCTAGAAAAGCTAAAGTCTTTTTTATGTTTTGTAACAATTTTTTTATTCTTTTTTTAGCTTTTTTTTCGCTGACATATTTTCAATCGAAGTTTTAAACATTAATTTTGTTTCGGACAGCAGCAGCAGCAGGAAAGGAAATGCTGCATTTCTGAAAACTAAAACTATGAGCTACACGATTCTGTTTTTTTTTTTTGGGGGGGGGGGGATT